TTTCAGCCTCTTCAGCATTGGTGGTTGGTGCATAAACTTGGATTACTGTGATGTTGAAAGGTCTGCCTTGGATTCATATTAAAACCATTCTATCATTTTTGAGAGTGTATCCCAGTACAGATTTTCCCAGTCTTTTGCTGATTATGAGGGCTACTCCATTTCTTCTATGGGATTCTTGCCCACAATAGTAGATATGATAATCGTCTGAACCGAATTCGCCCATTAATATCCACTTCCTCCTCAGGACAGTATCCAACAGATTTGGTTGAAGTTTCGCATATTGATTTACAGCATTGTGTTTTGCTTTGTTTTATTTTACAAACATACTACCTTTAACACACAACCTTTCACCAGCCTTTGCATTGGCAGAACCTTGAAGCGAACTACCCGGCTTGCCAAGACACAAATGATCTTGCCTTCTCTCTCCCCCCACCCAACACTCCCTCTCCCTTCTCCTTTAGCTTCTGCTGCTTCTGCATCTGCTTCCCCTTCTTCTCTTTTAATTTGCCTTTGGCATCCACATCATTCAGGCTTCTTTCATCCTGCGTAGTCTCCTTGTTGGAGACTTGACTAATTGCTGCTATTGCTTTGCGCTGAAAAGATCAGGGCAAAATTGCTTCTCAGGTAAAGGCTCAGTTGGACACTTAATGAGAAAATGAGGGTCCTGTGATGTGCTGATTGGTTCTCCTTCCAGTGGGGCTCAGATTTGTTACAAATAAGGACACCTCTCGAGTTTGGACAAAGTCAGATGAAAGTCTGGGCAGCAGCAAACTCACTGCCTTGTGGGCTTGGAGGAGAGATGCAGAAGCTCCATCCTAGCAGCCTGCATCCATCTGGGCCACTGAGGATGAATCAGCGCCCTCCTTCCTTCCCCATGAAGTTCTTGATCTACTATATGTGCATCAGACAGCTTGCCTCAGGTATGAAAACCCACTTTCCTTATTGCTTATTTTGTGTGCTTAAGGTGACGAAGTATCAACCTTTTAGGTATATTTCCCTAGGCAGTTTACAATACACCTTAAAAACAGTAAAGCATCTGGTAGCCACCCTGTGTTTTTCAATTCCCAGGACCAGTTGTAAAAGAATAAAAGCCTTTATTTACCCATCTTTTAGTATTCTTGGTCAGCGTGAAAGAATGCAGCCCACTTGGCAATGCATTTGAGGAAGCAACCAGAGGTCCATGAAGGCTTGCACCCAACCAAACCTGTTCATTTTCAAGGTGCCACAAGATCCTTTGTTTCTCTAGGGATGTGTACAGATGCAGCCTGAAAGGGGTGCCAGATGAAGCTATGGGGCACCAGTAGGCTGCTTCTTCCATTTCCTATCTGAAACTAAACTTTGGGGAAAAAAACTATGAATGAAAAGATAGCCAGACACCTAGGTAGTGGAAAATTAAACTTCACTGAAATTTACAGACTAAAGTTTAATCACTAAATCATTGCTGCAGCAGCAATTGCACGTGATCAGCTAGGGCTTGATGTTTACCTCAAAGCACCAGGTGTTGCTCAACCTGTCACTTACGCAGCCACCTGTGATGCTTTCCAAGGTGCTGAAACAAGAAGACGAGTGTCGTCGCCTGTTTAATCAAAGTGGTCAGTACTCTATTCATAGTTTCAACTAGGAGTAGACTCATTGCATCAGTTGCTGGATGGAAAGTCAATACTTATCTAAATCTAATTGAGTCCATTCTACTTCAGCCCTTGTGCATTATTTGTGGGGAGGGTAAAATATTTAGATTTTTCTGCATGTTTGTGTGTTGCTGAATCATTTTAAGAAATTTCTGTTTGCCTCATCCATTTGTTTTTGTAATGCCTCTTTTATTTTTGATATTAGGGATAGCTTTAATTTCTTTTAAAAAAATAAAAAATCCATGTTCAAAGTTCAAAGACAAGGCAACACTTAAATTTTCTGCAGTACTTTATGCAATATTAAGCCAAGGATTTTTCATATATATATCTCCATGATGATTTTGACTGTTGTGCTTATCAGCTCTGTTTTAATGATACTCATGTGTCCTTGCCGTCTTACTTTTACAGGGTTTCCTCATCCCTTTGCTGGTCATCTAGATGAATCAGACATTCCAAAAAGTGAGGTACATAACCTTTTCAATATTGCCCATGCTTATGTTGGAAGCATACTGTATATCAGAACATCAGATCTTATGGAATGGGTGAATTCAATGGCTGCTATAGAAGGAAGGATGAGTTCTCCCGATACATATATATAACTGTAAAGATTAGTTACTGTATTCCTGCCCTGGCTGTAGGAACAAAATGTGCTACTTAGGTATACATGGAAACTAAAAAAAATCTTCAGAGAATGTTACTAATATAAGCTCAGAAAAAAAAAACCTTTGCTTTACACTACAGACATATATATGGAATTCAGAGAATGTTACTAATATAAGCTTAGAAAAAAAACTTTGCTTTACACTACAGACATATATATGGTTTTGTTTTTATTTCTGTTTCAGAGACTGGCATTTTGTTTCAGTCAGTGGACAGAATTGTCCAATCAACCCCAGGTAAATATATTATCACTTATTTTATCTCCACACTAACACTTTGATGAACTGGATCTTTGACTTTGATTCTTCCCAGCACAGAGCCGCAGTTTTTGGGTCCCAGTCCTCTAGGTGGTATCCCCAACTTCAGTTCAACCATAAAAGGCCAGACTATTTTGAGGCACTGTCTCTCCCACAGCTTCACAGAGCCTTCACTGAAATTAGATTTCGGCAGATGCCCTTTGCATATCTCAAAGGGAGATGCAAAAGAATTCCAGGTACGGAACGCAAATGTGTATTCCGCTGCAACCAGATAGAAGACATGCTCCATTATTTATAGTTCTGCCCCCTCTATAAGGATCCCAGAGAAAGATTTTTGTTATCCAGTCATTCCCTAATTCCACACCAAAGGAAATAGTATTAAGATTGCTTATTGACAATCAGCCGTTCACTTATATTGACTTCTATACAATTTACTGATAATATTGCTACCCCTTCTTAAAACTGATGTATACTGTACAGACATTTTGGACATACCCTGAGCCACAAGCTCGTTATATTGACATATTATGTTACAAACGACTTCTAAGCCACTTAAAAGTAAATGTGTCAGTTTAAAATGTATAAAGATTTGCTTCTGTATGTCTAAGTCATGTAAACTGAATACCACAACCACAATTGCCAACACTTCTACCACCATGACTAATTCTAAAATATATATGTATGCTTTTATCTCATAGGTTTCTAGTTCGGTTCTGGATCTTTGTAACTCCATGTTTAATAGCTTGAAGATACAGGAGGTAAGACCTGATCATTTTATTTCCCTGAAAACATTGCCACAGTATTTATGCTGTTACATACTAGTCCATTATTGCATAATCTAATGTCGGCATCATTATCCTCACTAGGAGAATAATCAGGAAATTTATAAAAGGGTAAGAATTTATTTTTCTTAGTAGTAGACTTTATGTGCATAATATTTATTTTTCTATACAATGTAATATACTAAAATAGCTCTTTTTATGCAGTTTTTATTTCACTACTCCAGAGCTCAAGAGCCAACACAGCCACTTAAAGACGGGGTTAGTATGTTAATATAATCACATTATATGTTACAACATACAGAATGATATAGAATAGTACACTAGAATATTTCTTATGTACTAAAATGTTTTTTAATCTCTTAAATCCACAGTGTGTATGCGTACTTTCAACATTAAATCATATTTTAAAAAATAGCAGGATGCCTCCCCAGTATATACCAGTGTATGTCTAATGTTCATTGACGATGATTTGAGGAACCATAAAACCTTTTTCACTTTCATACACCTGGACAGGATATATTATTGCCCTAGAGCAGTAGTTCCCAATCTTGGGCCCCCAGATGTTCTTTAACTACAGCTCCCTGAAATGAACTGCTCAGTGGAGAGGTTGGGAGTTTGATTCTCCACTTGTTTTCTCTGATATGGCTGGACTTAATTATCCACAGAGTCCCTTCCAAGACCACTGTTGTTGGTAAATCCTGACCAGCACAGCTAGTGGTGCAGTCTTCTGGGAGTTTTAGTCCAAGAACATCAGGGGACCCAAGGTTGGGAACCATTACCCCACAGTTATGTTTTGATGCAGAATTCACTTAGAACTATATTCATAAGGTAGGCATTCTATGGCATTTTCAGTTGTAAATGAAGTTCCCAGATATCAGCCACTTGGCCTTCAGTTGTTGTTTTTAATAGGCAAAAATGGCCAGAATTATTTTTATAGTCCTAATAAATCTATTGTGATTTGCCTCTTTTTGTCCCAGACCCAAAAAAGTTCCATACTGAGAACCATGAAGTTACTGCATTTCTGATGATTTAAGGAAATTCAAGAATTGTATATGAAATAGCCCTAAGCATGCTGCTATCCCTACAGCTAACTCTCAGTGCACTGGAATTCCAAAGCCATCAGAAAAAAATATCCCAAAGGTCATTAATTGCCAACTTGCTTTATCCTGGGGCATGTGAGTTAATAAGCCTCATGGGGCTTTCAACCATTGGCAGTAGCATCAGATTTCCTTGGTATCACAATATGACTTGGAGATAATTTGGCAAAGAATATAATATTAAAATCTGTTGAACTAACATAAGCCGTACCAATAACTTTTCCTGAAAGAAAAGGTTGTAAATACTGAATAACTACTTAAATTATTTTGACTGTTGCTAAGGATGATGATGATGATGATGATGATGATGATGATGATGATGATGATGATGATGATGATGATAATGATGGAATTTATCTATCTGAATGTATGTATTATTCATACATACATATACCTATATATACATGTGTGTGTGCGTTGGTGTGTGTGTGTGCATGTATAGGTATATGTGTTATGTGTATGTATGTACGAATAATACACATATGCACAGAGAGACAGACAGAGAGAGAGAGAAAGAGAGAGAGAGAGAGAGAGAGAGAGAGAGAGAGAAATACTCTGCTTTAATAATGATGATTCAATTTATTAAAACAAAGGAGGTGCACTGAAATATACTTACTCTTATGCATGATCCTATGTGTGTTAAGTCCCACTTAATTTAACAGGGCTTTCTACAAAGAGACAGAATAGGCTATCTGTTCCAACTGATTTAACACTCTTGTGGTACAACAACATGGTCAATGGAATATCAGAAGTAGCACATAAACAGTGTTATTGCTGATTATGTGACAACAGCAGCCAAGCATTAGCACCACCTAAGTTTCTATATGGTTCATCTCTGGAAGGCACAGGTATTGCTGGGATAAAAGTGGGGACAACAAACTGATTGAAACCAATGGTGAAGCCTAACCGATCTTTTGGGTTGTAGCTGAAGTTTACACCAAACTTAATGTCTTCTTTTGAATGGCTTAGCACTCATGAGTTTATTGGGGTGTTGAAATTAATGTGTTGATATATTAGGAATATCAGTTGTCAAAGCCAGTTAGCCAGCGTCTAGGTATTAGAAATGGCCTGTCTAAAGCCAGTATTCATGATATCTCTTTATTATAGTATTTCCCTGTGCATCCTTTAATGAGCCTTGCTCCAAAGATCTCGGAGAGAAGAATGAAAAGATTCCTTGATCCAGTATGCAATCCCTTCTTCCATAGTCTTTTGTGGCACTAAAATTTCACATCTGCTGTTGTTGCTTTTAAAACACCATTGTTCCGGCGTTAAAACTGTGAGCATTTAATATGGAAAAAACTGATGTCATCATTATCCACTCCTCTTTCATTCTTCTCTCTTTTTCCATTTTTCAAAAACATTTTGTCATTTCCATCCCCCCATGAGTCTCATATGCTGGCTGGATAGCTCTGTGAGTTAAGTTTTTGACTGCAGAGCTGGAGGCTGGGAGTTCGATTTCTGACTGTGAGTCAGAAGAGCCAGCCTGTGTGGCCATGGGCAAGCTGCATAAGCCCAGGGGGCCTCCAGAAGAAAAGAATAGTAAATCACTTCTGAATATTCTCTACCTAGAAAACCTTGAAAAACTTATGAGTCGGAATTGACTTCATGGTATACAATTATTAATTATGGTTCTCATATTCATTTGAATTGAGTCACAGCAATAAAAGCTAATGTGATTAATCCCCCTTAGCTAACACCAGTGGAAATGTTTGGTAGTGTCCAAAAATGTAAAAGTGACACTTTTCCAACCTATGAGACTTCAAATCCTCTGTTAACATTCCTGTTCTTATCCTAAATGCTGAAGTTTCAAGCTATTTCTGCATGTGAGCATGTGTTGGGATGATCAGTTTCCAGCTCAGTCAGTTGTAATGAATAGTTTTGTTGGGTGACATCCATGGAAAACTTTGTGTGGAACAGGAACAAATAATAACCTATGCAGCAATGTAAATTGCCAACTGTGGCTTTTGACTTGAGTTAACACATCAGTGAGGCAAGTCTGGAGAGCTGTAGGAACAATGTTGCAGTAGAAATAAAACCTTACTGTTTGAATCAATACTAGGATTTTTAAAACTTCTCATTTGGGTGTTTGTGTTGTGCTCAAGAGCATGGCTGTGTCATTTCAGTTAAAGAGACAGAAGCATGCCTGATCGAAGAAAGGCTTCATAGAAAACCAATTTGTTTATTATTCTTTTTCTGTTTCTAACATTGCTTGTTCTGTGTTTCAAGCACTCGGGCTTGACACAGAGTGTTGGAGTAGTCTACTAAACTCTACTGAAAGCCTGCAACTTACTAGCATTTGATAAGGTTCTGAAATTGACATGCCTTGTCCTCTTGCAGGAATCACAAATGACTGCTGCAGAATTAACAAAGAAGGTAGGCTGCAAATTTGCCATTGTTATTTCTACAGATTCTTGCTAGTTCTTAGTGCTCAGTTTATCAGGGTTCCCACGCACCCACCCACATAGTGAAGCACAGGTAAATTGGATATTAAAGAAATAGAAAGGAGGGCATCTGTGTTTGCATCTGTCTCTGTCTGTCAAGCAATCTAGCTAGCTAGCTAGCTCTTTTTCTCTGCATGTACATTTGTTTTGGAACTACTTTGCCCAGGACCATCCAGATGCTTTGTGGGAAACAATTGCTATCATTCTCAGTCTTAGCCATGTTGTATGGGGCTAGTGGAAGTTGTAGTCTGAAAGATGGGGAGGGCAGTATATTATATTTAGAATGTTCAAACAACATTAGATAGGTTTGGGCAGTTTTAATGCTTCTGAAAAAAAATTTAAACCTTCTCTGGTGGCAATGTATTTCAGTCTCATGACACAAACTGCATCTTTTAAAAATGGAATTCCGTCTAACATCTTGATAGTTGTATAAGCATGATCCAAACATCTGCAACAGGAGATACTTTTTGTGGAACTCTTCTACTTTTCCAAAACAGATGTCAATAGGAGAGTGGAACCGGCACACGCTGTGATGGCTTTCCACCCTGAGGCATTTAGTTCACAGTTTCTCCCTCCACCCGGGAGTATCTTGCAGGGGAACAGCTGTGTTCTGGATCAGAGCTTGGAAAAGGCCCATCATCCTCCAGCCAGTGACAAGGTTCTCTGAAGGATACAGAGACTTTCCAAATTATGTGCATAGCACTGCTGTTTATTCAAGGCACTGTGCAGCTCAAGTGCTAACCCACCTCTTATTAGTAGAGGAAAAATGACCATCTCAGGATTTCTCCTTTCCACAAAGGTCCGTGCCTCCCTGAAGATTCTATAGTTATCAAAGACATTTAGGCAGCTGCTGTGCACCTATAAATGTTTGCCTGGGAACAAACTGTGTGTAACTTAGGGAGACTTACTTCTGACTAGATGTGTGAAAGAATGCACTGTAAATCACTTTTGTTGGAAGGGAAGTTCTTAAGCCTTGCCTGCTGCAGAATCCTCTTCCTCATTGACCAGGTGTTGTGCTGCCTCTGTAGGGAGTTATATTTGGTAAAATGCTGACCTGTATTCATTTGAGAAACTTCTTGTTAAGTCTGCTTTATTTCTTTCATATTACAGGATGGCTTGGACACCTTGGGACGACCATTTTTCCTTTTCAGGGTATCTAATATTTTTTTTTTTGCTTCTGTTATTAACAAAAACCCACTTTGAACCATATGCTGTATCACCTATTGATATGAAGCAATCAAGAGTGCAATTTTAATATTTTAACTATGAACTCAAAATTTGAATTGCTATATGTTATTAATATTGATTCAGTTCAATAGTCTATACCAGTGGTTCTTAACCTTTGTTACTCGGATGCTTTTGAACTGCAACTCCCAGAAACCCCAGTCAGGACAGCTGGTGGTGAAGGCTCTGGGAGTTGCAGTCCAAAACTCCTGAGTAACCCAAGGTTAAGAACCAGTGGTCTATACTGTGGGTTTTGTAACACTGGCTGTTCTTCTTGCCGGATTAATTAACACGTGACCTGGGGCCATGAACATGGAACATACTGTAGTCCTGCCCCTTGGTACTATGCACATACTATAGTGTCCACACATATAGTAGGAAAGCCTATAGAAGTGGGGGCTTGCATGGGTAGGCATCTATGCAGTCTAGATTTCCTAACATTTGAGGCTCTGGGTTATGCAGAAGCCTATTCACACAGTGTTGCATGTGCCATGGTCTTTCTACAGGTAATATGCATGACCACCTTAGAAAGGGATAGGTAATTAATATTATGAAGAGCTGCAGCTGTGTAACTTAGCCCCACTCTGAGCTCATGTGTTTAACACAGTAAGTACACATGGTCTGCCATAGTAGGTCATTTAGTTTCATGAGCCTCTAGGAAGAACAAACATGTTCCAGTGTTGGGAATGCCTTACTAGCTTCTATCACTGAGCAACACTTGGTCCAAGGTGTGGAACTGCAGTCTTAAGCAGGCATGTCATGTTTAGCACAGAATTGTCCCTGTCTCCTCATCATTTCACTGAGATAACTGGTATGCTGCCAAGGGATGTGTCCCAGAACAAGGAGGAAACCATGTACAGGCCACCTGAACAGGAAAGGGGGAAGGATGAATTAAAATGAAGCACATGCCCACCTCCCTTTCTCAGTCGAGTTCAAAGCATACAGAAACTGGACAGATGGTCGAGCTGTTGTTCAGACAGGTGTGCACAGGTGCTCTTTTTCTTGTAAACTCTTTCCTTTCAAACTGAGGAAGTAGCTGATGTACTGACAGAGCTGAATTCTTTTCTAATGCTTGCTTTTGCTGGCAAAAGATCTTTCCATTTTTAAGATTCATTTCATAATGAATCCTCCTTGTTTTGCATTTTATATTTTCAGCCTCGGAATGGAAGGACGGTGGATAATGGAGGTGAATAAACCAACCAAAAGGTGATTTCTTTTACAACTATAATATTTGTATAGTGTACTATATGGCCTCACCGCTGGTCTCATTAAAGACATGGTAAGGAACTCATAGGCAGCTAAGTTATCCACAGCTATATCGAAGCTGGGTTATTCCCCAGCCTACATCCACAGGAGGGGATACGAGGCAGTCTGAAAAGATACCATTAAAAGATTATATGATGTTGATATCCAGACTGCCATGGCATCTGTAGCTATCTGCAGCTCCAAAGGATATACAAAGACTTTTCCTGGACTTTTAGAAAGCTGCCCCCCATATTTGTCCATCATTAGCACACATGAGCTGATACATCTGCTAACTAAATGCAGATTAAACTCACTACACTTGAAAGAGATTCAGGGATGTTACATGGACCAACATGGTACAGGCATTGTTCAGCGAGATGCTCTAAAATGGAGGACATACTGTAGTACATTTTCTAACAGAATATCCTCTGCATGCAGATCTGAGGGACCAATAACGTAAACCCTTAACAACTGGGATCAAGAACACTTTATGTGTAGTTTTATTCCTGCTAGCTGGCACAGACTACTGTATATCCTATAGGGCTACTAAATCTGTTAAATGAGCCATAGAAAGATGAAACTTGTTTGCCTGCTTCACAAGTTCTTCAAGTTAATTTTACATCTTGATATTTATTCTTTTTGAGAATACTTATTATTTTATTACTAATATTGTATTATTTTGTGCTTTTTTGCTTATTTACATGCAGTTACATTAGATTTCTAATACAATTTTTAAGACCAATCTGCTCTATAGTCTTGTGTACAGCCTGATCAGCTATAAATGTTTTATATAAATATTTGTTTGTACATGTGGAAATAATGGTGTCTCAGCTGGAAGTCTCTATCCTCCTTCAGGTCAATTGAAATGTTGTCTTAAATGTCGGTGTGGATAGCATGTTTTACAAACTTCTTGACCCCACTGACACACATGTGTCACTGTGTTCTCCCATGCATTTATCCATGCAGTCTTATTTCTCAATCAGCCCTTGCTGTCATAATCTTTAACAGCTTTGAACAGCAGCCTGAGGCTGGTTTTCATCTCCCTCTCCAATCATATGGCAAAACTCACACACTACTCATCACACTATTGCAACTGTGTTTGGGTTTCTTGTTGCCAGGACTGTGATACCATCTGTGTCGTCACCACATGCATCTGCATGCCCGTTTCATAATCTGGCAAGTGCATTAGAGTCACTGTACATGCTGGCGATGAGCTGTATTCAAATGGATGGGGTTAAAGAGGTGTATTTTTATAAAGATATTTGAGCAAAAGGCTTTATAAGAATACAGTGCTTCCAAGAAGTGAGCTTCCTAATGTTCTAAAAGGGATTATTGCTTATGTTTGATTTTACAGAGGTCTTAATTGATTACATTAAAATCCAATGTTAACAGTTCAAAACCCAAGCCATTGTATTGCTGCATCTATGCTCTTTGTCCCCAGTTTTCTGTTCATTTGGGCTTCCCTAACAATCTGACATGCTCCTACTTCTTCTTCTATGCTTTTTGCAAAAGTAGGGAAATTTGACTTAGAAACTTTCGCTGACAGCAAATGTTTGAAACACAGTTTATTTGCTGTAGAGGAGGATGCAGCTTCATGAGGTAATAAAGCCTTTCCCTCCATTTCCTTGTTGCCTCAAATACCTCTGTACAGTAGTAATTTGTAATAATAACTATATGCAGTCAAGTCGATTACAATTTATGGTGTCCATGGCCAGGCCTTTCAAGTTATAAAATTCTCAGAAGTGGTTTATCTGTCCCTCCTCCTGGTGGTGCTTTGGGACTCTGCACTTGCCCAAGGCTATACAGGTAGCAATATACTTAATCCCAATCAGCCACGCATTCCCTGTGCAATCTTGGCCAGCTGTTCTCCTACAAGACACAGTAGAGATTTTTAGGGGCTCTGCAGCTAAGTGCGCATTACAGTTAAACTTAACCACCTCCCAAAAATCATCTGTGGACACCAATGGAAACTTTATTTCCTCCTCAACCGCAGTTGTCTTGTGAAGGGATGGGGGTGAGAAGGTGGAGTGATGCATTAGGGCCAGAACCACCTATGAGCTAAATCTGACATAAAGCCCAGTTCATAAATATTCCCATGGATTACTTGTTCTTTTAAACAGCAAGTCAGTTCAGCCAAAGAAATGTAATTTATACTAGCTGACTTCCTAATATTTTAAAATAGCATTTTGTTTTAAAGCAAGGGTAAGTGTATTCCACCTGGGTGTCCCCTACAAGTGAAAAATATCTAATGTTTAAAAATATCCCTTTCCACCCTTGAAAGACACCAGGAATTGAAGTTTTGGAATAAAATGGGATATAGCTCCCCATGCCCCCCAGGAAGCCCATATCCACACAAAAAAGAAAGCAGAAGTGGACATGAAGCTACAAACAACTCTGCCCCCCATTCCTTTTACTCATTTTCAAGGCCACTGTTGGTCCTGAGGGAGGACACTTGCCCAGTAGACTTTCCAAAATTGTTCATCTCTAATTTAAATCTTGGAAAAGTGAGTAACTCCAACCCCACCTCCTAGCACAGTGACTGCATGCAGCAAAGGATTTACATCCTCTGACCATGAGCCCCCCTACCTCTACTCATGATGGGAAGGCTGCAGTGCATAATGAAATCCTACCAGCAGTGTTTATATTTCTTCAGATTAAAATGTAGCCATTTCTTTCAGATTTCAGTGGAAGCTGATGTCCATGAACTGGCCTCCATGCTTCATCACTTTATACCATGGGAAGAAATGTCAGACTATGATTAGTCCTCTGTTTAAAGAAAATCTGCTGTATCTCTCTGGCATAATGGTACATATAATAAACATGCAGCCCTGAACTATGTGTGTATCATTTCTGCATGTGTTCCAACATTTCCTTCCTGTCTCCTTTCATAGAACCATAGAAAAGTGAAGTTGGAAGGGGCCTACAAGGCCATCAAGTCCAACCCCCTGCTCAATGCAGGAATACAATCAACATATCTGCCAGGTGGTTGTTTACATTTCTTTTGAATGCCTCCAGTCTTGCAGTGCTCACCAATTCCCGAGATCACTGGTTCCACTGTTATACTGCTCTAACAATTAGGAAGTTTTTCCTGATATTCAACCGAAATCTGGCTTCCTTTAACTTGGGCCCCTTGTTATATGTCCTGCACTCTGGGATGATTGAGAACAGATCTTGCCCCTCCTCTGCATGACAGCCTTTCAAATATTTGAAAAGTGCTATCATAGTGCTTTAATCCCCAAATAGTAATCCTCTGTCTTGTCAAGGGTGACCAGGAGCTCTTTTGGATTCGGTGACAGTGGACACATCAATGGAGGAAAATGCACAAAACTCTGTTAAAGAGACAGCGACATGTAAAACAGAAAGTACAGGGCAATAATACTGTAAAGAGAAACCTCATGCCCCTTCTGCTTGCTGGGATCTCCTAAAGAGAGATCCCGGGCATCAGCTGTTGTGCAGCACCTTCCAGGAACTCAATCTACACTGAAGTTTAGTGATGGCCAAGATATATATGCCTTTCCAGTGTTCACTAAGCACATGCCTGTCAGCTGATTTCTCTGATATATTTCACTAACTGGCAAAATTAATAACAGAACATTCTACTAATGAGCAAACTGATAACAAAACCAGGTATCAAAGGATTGCAGAGTTAGATGTCAGAGTGTAACACCTACTAAGTCAGTCCAACTTGGTTATGCCTCATCTCTCTCCAAACTTCTCACCTCAGATTATCAGAAGTAATCAACTTGATGCCTCCTCGAGTGACTCCAGTGATTCAGCTGGATAGGAATGTTTTCTGCCAGTTTCCAGCAGTTGAGAGCCTTCCTAAATATCCCTTAGTAATTTGTGATGTTTTTCAGTATCCTGCAGTAGCTTAAACATCTGAAGGACTGAGCAGAGAGCAGAATACTGCTCCATATCCACACTCAACCTCTTTGCCATTCTTCCTCATGGATGCTACACCCCCAGCTGAGAACTTCAACTGTATGGCTCAGGAAGGAATTTAGATAATTCTAAAATGGATATTTCTTAATGCTTGACCATTCTGATATGTAATCTGTACACTGGACAAAAAGCTACTTTAGAGGTAGAATATGAAGAAACTATCTCCCATTTGTAGAACACAATGCAGGGAAACATATGTTAGATTCAGATGAAGAAAGAGCGAAAATTTAAGAAACATCAGTAATTTGAGATATGCAAATGCCAGCATATTACTAGCAGAAAATAGCACATATCTGGATGATCTGGAGAGTTAAAGGAGAAAGTGCACAAGCAGATGAGTTCAACATTAAGACGACAAAAATAATGACTGAAGAATTACATTCACTTTAGTATGGACAACAAAGAAATCACATAATAGTTTAAGATTTGCTGTACCTCAGCTTAATCGTTAACCAGGAAGAGGAAGACCCAACATAGGACCTGTTGAGTCAGTAAAGGAAGCTACAAGCCTCAGTTGGGAAGACTTGAATAGAGTTGTTAATGACAGACATTTTTAGAAGCCATGAGTTCATAGAATCCCCATCAGCAAGATGCACATTAATGGCATGCCATACACACACAGTCCAACACATAGAGGGGCACCAAGTTCCCTACCTGACTGACAGGCAAATGACATATCCTCTATAACTAGGACATTTTCCCTCCAAAGTTATAAAGCAGAAAACAGGGCAGGACAGAGGTTGGGAACCTTATTTTCAGACTAAAATTCCCAGAAACCATCTGCCAGCATAGAGTGGGGAATTTTGCTTTGAAACAAAAACCTTTCTGACTGCAGCAAGGGGAGGCAATATGTATGATTGTTTATTCTAGGATGCAGAGAAATGTTTGGGAAAAGGAATCCTACAAAAGGAAGTGTCTTGCTTAAATTAGGGCACATAGTAAATTGAAGAAGAAAGGGATGACATTTTTAGTGCAGTGTAGAATTGACCTTTATTTTAACATTTTTTAAAAAACCATATTGGAATTCGCTTTACATTTGACACTTTATAAAGTTATAATTTTTTTTAAGTCAGAAGGTAAACAGATAATAGGGGTATACATCACTTAATGCTAAGATCCTTATAAAGCCCAATAGCTTTGCTTACAAATCCCTTCTTATAAGAGAGCAAAAGGTAGCAGGCTTCAGAATTCTTGTGACCGAGTATCTTCCACAGCTTCTTTAGCTGCAGTCTTCTTGGGAAGCAGCTGGGCTTGGATATTGGGCAGAACGCCTCCTTCGGCAATGGTCACTCCTGCAAACAACTTGTTAAGCTCTTCATCATTCTTCACAGCGAGCTGGATGTGCCGGGGCCCAATCCGCTGCTTCTTGTTCTGATGCGCAGCCGTTCCTGCCAGTTCTATGACCTCCGCAGTCAGATATTCCAAAACAGCTGACAAATACACAGCCGCTCCAGTGCTTATTCTATCCGCATAGTGGCCCTGTTTGAGGTATCGCTCAATACGGCCCACCGGGAATTGCAGGCCAGATTTTACAGATTTGGTCTTCTTTGTCTGCACTGCTTTCTTGGCACGTCCAGACATTGTTATACCTGCAGATAAAATGAGAAGGTGAACTGCTCCAAGGGAACACAGCAACTGAAGGCTCTGAAATCATTTATTAAACCTGACCCTGTTTGCCATTAAAAACAACAACAACCTGAAGCCCAAACTGTGATGGGTTGTGGGGCTTTCCCCCCCAACCCGGCAGTGATAGGAACTAGTAAAAAATAATGAAGTTATGAATGGAGTTGGAAATTTAATAGAATGGGAAAAGGCAACTAAATTCATTTTATGTTTTTACTTTTGCATTAACATTTCTCCAGAATAAAGTTGGTAAAAGTATTGTGGTCGTGCTGTTTTAGAGGGGCTTTTGAAATTAGGTATTGCTCCCTCACCCTACCCCAATTTCTAAAAATAATAATTATCCTCCAATTACTGAAACCAATTTTTTTCTATCAAATTTGGAGGACTTCAAAATGTTGCAGAAATACCTGAAATCAAGGTAAAGAAAGGACCGAAAGAAAACAAAGAACATAACCTTATGAAAATTTCAGATAATCTTCTCTGATACTTTACAAAGTATATTTTTGTCTCACTTTTCTAATGTATGCAAAATATTGAGTTACTAAAATGCAGTTTTAGAAGTATAATAATGTTTTAGGTTTTATTAAAGTTGAGGTCTGGTTAATTTTAGTTCATCTAAAAAACCGCAATGACATGGGTTTTTTCAGACATGGTTCTCTTTGTCCGTTTCAGTAACAAGAAAAGCAGAATTATTGTAGTACCTTTAAAGCTAACAAATTTATTTCAGTGTGAGTTTTCATAAATATAACCTGCTTCTTTGGACACAGGAAACCCAAGGACAAAGAAAGAATTACTGCTGCCCTTATTTATATTAAGACGGATGGGAATGAATTTTAAAAATCTGAAATGTTTTGTAAACATGGTTTTGAAATGTGTTTATTTAGTGTAAAATAAAAAATGTCGTTAGAAGCTTGGATTATTAGAACTTAAGGTTCAAGGTTCATACACAATGAATGAGTTTGTCCTAGTCTTTCTGTCCCACTTTTCACAGGGTGTTAAGGAAAGAAGGAAAAGAAAGGAAGAAAAGGAAAGCTGTGGACCTTATAAGGGGAGACTGGGTAAATGTAAATAATAAACATAAAATAAACACCCATCTATATTCCAGTTAAGTAAAACAAATGTATAGATATTTATTCAAAACTGTGTGTTTGATTGTGGAGTTAATCTGAAGAAGGCTAACTGGAGGAAAATCGTGGATCCGACTTTTCATTTTCATTCCGGTAAGTTTCTCATAGAAGTATTGCAGTAATGCAATGTAGATTTAAACAGCAATTCAAATGTTTAACAAGCAAGGAACACGGCCCTGGTACACAACCTACGGGCCAGGGTTGGTGATACCTTTACTAAACCACTATAGAAATTGCACATATGAGCTAGCTTTCCTGTACATGGTCAAAAGTTTGCCCATGTTTGTGATTTTTTTAGTGGTCTAAAATTAGTGGTTCTTAACCTTGGGTAACCCAGGTGTTCTTGGACTGCAAGTCCCAGAAGCCCCAACCAGCATAGCTGGTGGTGAAGGCTTCTGGGAACTGCAGTCCAAGAACACCTGAATTACCCAAGGTTAGGAACCACTGGTCTAAATAAAGGTGCACCCCAACCCTTGCCTGTGGATTGTAATTGTTTCAAATGCTTCCCTTCAACATAGCATAATTGAATTAGATTTTTTTAAACTGGATGTAACTTTCTCGTCTCTGCTTTTTTTGAAACATTTTGGCTGATTAAGAGAGCAAACTGCTGCACACAGTTTTTGTGCATTTGGGGCTGCCTGAATAAAAAGCATTACTACTGTTAATTTTTTAAAAATATCTATCCCTGTTCCCCCACCAACATCCATAGAAGGTGAGTAAGAGCAGATTTGATGCAAAGGTAAAGAAATGTCAGAATTGGTTTGTCTTTGTTATCACCCATAGATGTACCCCTGGGACCTTGGTCCAGCCACCCTTTTTTATACACCCCTTGAGAAAATAGGAAGCAAGAGGAGCACCTACATGGCCTTCAGCTTGGTAGGGAAAGGCAGGATACTAAAATAGCTATCAGTAACTGCACTACCAACACTTATCAGGCCCAAGAGGTCACCCATATATAACAATTAATGTATATAGAAACTTACTATTTACGAGGTGTCACAAATGCAGGAAAATTCTCTGTATTTCTATCACCCAAAGCTTTCTTTGCACCACTTCTTTCAAGGCAGTTTATTCCTCTGTCTGGGTCTTATTGTGATAACACAGGGGAAATTTCTTCTCGCCAAGAGACTAAATTATTTTACTTAATGCTATACCACTATCAGACTAAAAGAAGGTATAAATGGTAAGACTCTTGCCTCTGGAAATTATCTAAGAATATTATAAACTCCTTCCCTTCAAAGCCTTCTCGGTCTGCATTTTCTCATTTAAGCTCTCAGCAGCTGCAAGCTCATTAGTAGGCTTCTTTTCAGCTGGAATGGCCTTACCAACTTGACTCAATCAACCTACAGCAATTAGTAGATAGGCAAGGACACTCAGAAGGGGTTTCAGGATTCCCTAGTAAACTACTTTTATCTTATAACGGGATGGTTGTCTGCTGACTGATGGATGTTCCAGCTGGTTTCTTTCATCTGATTCCCTGGGGAGTGGGCGTTTCAGAGAGAGCCATGCATTTCAATCAAACATGTACAGCTGGCAGTATAACTAGGTGGAATAGTGGCACCATACTCTGCAGCAGAGTTTGGGACCTTGTGGTTCTCCAGATGTTGTTGACTTTTGTTCCCACTGGCTTCAGTAGATGGGGTCAATGGCCAAAGATCATGGAAGCTGTAACTCACAACAACTGAAGGCTATAAATTCCTCAGCTGTGGGGGAATAATGAATATCTTAGAATCATAGAATAGTGAAGTTGGAAGGGGTCTATAAGGCCATCAAATCCAATTGTCTGCTCAATGCAGGAATACAAATCAAAGGATATCTGCCAGGTGGTTGTCTAAGTTTCCCTTGAATGCCTCCAGAGAAATCCTCTACCAGAATAAGCAAAGTGAGGCTATTATGCTGTTGAACTGCACGTCCAATATTTTGTCACTCTTTATGCTGGTCAGAGCTGATGGGAGATGCAGCTCCAGAGCCCACTTCCACCCCATCTTAAGCAAATTGTTAAAGCAGTACAAAATGAGAAGACCTTTTTGTTAGGATAGCTAACAGTGAAAGATGTTCCTTCCCTTAGGCACTTATAAAAATATTTGCCGAACATCAACTTTGAATGTTTCATGGTGGCATGTTGATACTACATACATCCTGCTGGGCTTAGACAGGAGTTGCAGAGGAAGGTTCTGAAAGCTAGGATCTAGTCCGTGGGAGACAGAGAAGTTCAAATCTTTCAGTGAGATGAACACAAGAGCCATGCAAAACTCAAATATAATGTTTGTTTTTAAAGCTGATATTTGTATTTAAGATTAGCACTGTTCCTCTAAAGATCTTCCTACCTTCCCCAGGCAAAACATACATTCCTAAATAAGCAGATAAATCAGTGATGCCTTCCCCATCAGAGTAAGTGGGACACTGCCCCATGCATGTCAAGCTCATATTCTCTCCAATCAGCCTACTCTTGCCTGCCTTCCTACCAGAGGCAGAGGGGCCTCTGTGTGAGAGTCTGCCAGCCTTTATGCATATATGTGTGTGAGATAGTGCCTTGGTGTTTGGGCACCTTTGGCCCCAGAAGAGAACTCTGCTAACAGAGGGGCAATTTAACCAGAAGAATTGGGCTTCTGCCTGGTCTTGACCTTCTGCACCCAGCACAGCTTCAAGTTAGGATTACACCACCTCAATGCAGTCTGAACCTCTACTATGTGCCACCATCCACAGCAGATTAGAATTAGGGAGGTTGGTTGATCTCTCAGACACCTGTTAACAGAACAATTGGCTGGCAGAACTGCTCTGTTGGCTAATATCTGAAATGAGAGGCGCTGGTGGAGATGGCACTCATCCAGCAACAAGTAGCTAAAGGTAGCCAACTAACTCCACTGGGATTCTTAGTGGCAAGGCTCACATTGGAGGTCCTTTTTCTAATCTGCCCCATACATGAATGGGCATCTGATTGAATCAGGTAGAGAAGTCAAAACAGTTACCTTTTGACCAAAACAGTGGCATAATACGTGTATCAATGCACGTAATAATGGGACCCCAATCCCTTACAGTCATTCATTCTGTTAGCAGAAGGATCAGGCCCTTTGAAAAGTAGCACTGTCTTTGCCACTTTGATCATCACTGTTGCTGCTTGATATCTTTTTCTGCTCATACAAAGGTAGCCAAAATCACAAGACCCAGCCACAAGGCAGAGGTATCCACAGACTTGGGCAAGAGTAGGAAAAGTTGCCATTTGGATTACAAATCCTATAACACCTCGGTGAGCAATAACACTGCCCCCCAGGTGGCATCAGACCCAGAATTTAGAGAAGTTCCTGGTACACTTACCATCACTTCTAGAATCCAATGACCCCCATGTGTTAATATTTAATACAAATTGCATTAAACTCTAGATTCCTTTTTTAAAATGCTAAGAAAGCAATATCTCCAGAACAGAGAGTGGAAAACTTATTTATTTGGACTAGAGCTACTAGAAGCATCCAGCCAGCTTGGCTGCCGGATGGGGATTCTGGAAAGTTGTTGTCACAAAAATATTGCCAAGCTTTGATCTAAAACCTAAATTCCCTGTGGCAGACTATGCAGAAAAAGAGCACATGATGTCACACCAGCTATCATAAGACATGCAAAACTGCTATGAAAAAAGGACTCATTTTGTGGCATAATTGCACCATTTGGTCATTATTTTTTTCATTATTTCAAACCATAATCAAGTTTTCACATTGTGGAAATTTATTACTATAAAAAAAAGACAGTAAAATGTGATTCTGCAAAGTGCCATGAACAAGTGACAAAGCCATTTTCCAAATCAGTCAGTAAACTAAATGGGATGACGAGTTAGATCCCTATGATTCTTCTTGGGAAGCAGCAGAGGGTGCTGTTTTCTTAGGACCGAGCAGGGGGTGAATGTTGGGCAGGACCCCTTCTTCAGCAATGGTCACTCCTGCAAACAATTTGTTCAGCTCTTCATCATTCCGCACGGCCAGCTGAATGTGCCGGGGCCCGATCCTCTGCTTCTTGTTGTCATGCGCAGTGTTACCCGCCAGCTCCAGGATCTCAGCAGTCAGATATTCCAAGACAGCTGCTAGGTACACGGAGGCACCTACACCTACTCTTTCGGCATAGTTACCCTGCCTCAGAAACCGAGCAACACGCCCCACCGGAAACTGCAGGCCGGCAGCGGCACTTTTGTTTTTCCTGAGAGCTGTCCGAGGCTTGGCTAGCTTCTTGGCCCGTCCAGACATTGTGTGGTACCTACAATTAGAGAAGGGAATCTTTATTATTGCCTCCATTCCATCGGGTCATCATGACACAGCAGAAGCCCAGGTGACATCCATAAGAACCAACAAAACGCTATTCCAGTAGGCCTTACTCTCTGGACCAGCCTTTCCAATCTGTTATATAAGGGACAGGATGCATGTGCTTTTAATAGTTACGTGGGCAGAGAAGTTCTACCACGTGTAGCTTACATGAAAGTTGCACCTGCTGAAATTGCCTCTTCTAAACAGCTATTTCATTTCTTCTACTGGCCAGAGACTGGAGATGTGAATTTTTATTTATTACAAGCAAGAGACGGGTCGAACTATCTCCTGACCTACAACAACATTCTTCATTTTTCCACTGTCGACAGCAGATGGTTTTCTACAAAGCAAGCACACATTTTAGAGCCATCCAACTGCACTAGGGTAACCTAAGTAAACTAAAGAACTTTGCCACTGGTGAGACATCAGGGAAAGCTCTGTGTCCCACTACAGATTTACAGAATGATGTTAGAAACAGTCAGCTCTCATAAAAGGATACAGTACTAGCATTGTTAGCCTACTTATGGGATACAGTGGGGTCTTGACTTGAGAACTTAATCCGTATTGAAAGGCGGTTCTCAAGTCAAAAAGTTCTCAAGTCAAATCTGCATTTCCCATAGGAATGCATTGAGAACCATTTGATCCGTATCTGCTCTTTTCCGTCCATAGAAACTAACGGGAAGCTGCTATTCTGCCTTCGACCACTAGAGGGCGATATTTTGCTTCTTTTTTTCTTAGGTCAAGAAAGGTTCAGAGAAGGCAGGGAAAATACAGTCCAGGCAGTACAGTACCAGGCAGTCCGAAGACTGTCTCCCAATTCACTCTCTAAACGCTGGGAGGAGTGAGGAAGCAGAAAGAGACGGGTCGAACTATCTCCTGACCTACAACAACATTCTTCATTTTTCCACTGTCGACAGCAGATGGTTTTCTACAAAGCAAGCACACATTTCAGAGCCATCCAACTGCACTAGGGTAACCTAAGTAAGCTAAAGAACTTTGCCGCTGGCGAGACATCAGGGAAAGCTCTGTGACCCACTACAGATTTGCAGAATGATGTTAGAAAAAGTCAGCTCTCATAAAAGGATACTAGCATTGTTAGCCTACTTATGGGATATGTAATCTTACTTTAAAAGAACTTCCAGTATTTGCTTTAAAAGGGACAATATCCAGCTAATACATAATCATGTTTCCCTCTCTGTATACACATACGTATAGTCTTATTTGTAATGTAATGGCTATGACTGATGCCTCTCTGACACCCAACCTGAAGGGCTTAATGGTTTGTATTATGAATTCAACCTTTCTAGCAATATTTTGAAGTGATATCCAGAGGACTGTCCAAGTAAGATAGTAACTCTGAGCCCCGGCTTTTAATACTTTTAACAGCAATTCAGAGTGCAGAAACTTTAGCAAGATACACTATTGCATTTTGTACACTAAATAGCTTAAACCAACTGCTGTCAATAGACTCTACGGTCACTGATGTAGATAAGTTGTTACTGACTTCTGTTTATGATTAACTGACACATTTACATATATACAATATGCACTAAAATAAGTATTAGATAATTCTAAAGAGAAACTCTCACATATTTCATTTACATGCACAACCTGCCACTTAAGCATAGGATATTTATTTTACATTTTAAGCTAACACAAACCATATCAGTGTTACTTTCAGCAAAACAAAAACCCTCCCTTCTTATTCCTACTTATATTACTGTTCTTTAGACAGCCACGTATCTCCTCTTTCCTTGCAAAGTGTGGTGAGTCTTTTAAAAACCCCTCTATAAGTTGGAGCTAAAGTGAGAGTTCATTCAGCTGTCTCCACTCTGCCAGAAGTTTCTGACTTGAACTGTATTGGTTTCACCTTGAATAATTCATTTGTTTTTGAGAAATCCTGTTGTGAATAACTGGTAGGTTTTGTTTTCCTACTCTTGCCATACCTTCTTGAGAGCCACAGAAATGTGCCCAATCTTCAGGGTGGGGTGAATGCTAGGGGATTCTTTGCGACACACAGACACCAATATTGCTAAGGAGTACAGTACTGAGAATACTCATAGGTTGCAGCACTGTGAGTAACCCTTGAAGGCAGGAAGAAAGCAGAGTGGACAACTATCACTGTTTAGTTCATCCATTGACATGTGGATGTTGAGAAACCCACTAGATGCAGCGATGGTCATAAAGAAAGTCCAACAGAATTCCATAAGCAATAAAACTTTTATCATGGAACTATTTTCAAGAGGCCAGTGATAACAAGTGCCAAGCACAAATGGAAACGGGAATAGCTCATGGTATAATATTTCCTCCTTTCAAGTCTGGTGAAGCCTTTTAACCTTTCTCTGACATCTCCACCTTTTCAGTTGGGTTGGGGTCAGTATGACCTTCGGGGCTGGGGTTTAACATGCTCTGTTGGCAGGACCTCCCAGCAATTCTCAGTAGGGTCCACAACCGCCTTGGGTTCTTTTGAGGAGAAAGGCAAGGTAAAAATATTTTAAATAACTAAATAGGTAGGATCAGATCCATTGGATATGAACCAAAGCACTTGGCCCTTGTAGGGGAGCTCAAGGTTCAGTTGGGAGTTAGCATGTTCTTCTCTTTCTTAACTTAGCCTATTTGGCAGGGCCATTGTGAAGGTGAGGTGAGGGCTTGTCTGCACATGACATTAGGAGTGGGCCACAGTGGACTCAACAGGGTCCATGCATCCAAATGTCATGTGGACCTCAAACAATCCTATTTGATTTGCAGCAGCCTGATGTCAAATTGCTAATATCATGAAGAGGTTTGAAAAGAGAGCCACTTCACAATACTGGCAAATAAATCATTTCTGCAGCTCTGTGGAGGAATTGAGGAAGTGAACAAAAAAAAAATATAAGTGTGTATTAGGGCACTGAATATTCACTGCATCACTTTAAAGACTTGAAAGAGAAATGGAAAGCAAATGTGTATTAAGGCAGCACAGCACAGCTTGTTGTCAATTTGCCTTCCATGCTTTCCATTCATTGTTTGGATCTTTAAAGTGATGCAGTGCACATTTGCTGCCCTTTAAAAATACCCCCCTTCCTTGGGACCTTCCAGTAACTGCAGCCTTATTTACAGCTATTGACAAAACTGAAAAAAAGCCTAACAATTGGGGGACTGTGATTATAACCCCCATATACAAAAAAAGGTAATAAAGGTCTACCCTCTAACTACAGGCCTATAAGCTAGTGATTAAGTGTCAGACAGTATATGTAATGAAACCTATCGCGATGCTTGCAACGTTTGGAGTATTGTTGGACAGAAAAATGGCCAAGAACTGAAAATTAATAACAAATAATATTATTGTACTTGCACAGCTGTCAACTATATGTACTGAGTGAGAAACTGGGGATTTAATTTGATCTGATTTTTTTTTTTCTGTTAGTAAGACTGAGAATAATGTAGCGTCCTACTTTATGTACCGCTCGAGAGGCAAAAA